GAAGGCTTCTTTAATTCTACAAAATAAATTCCTAGATGTGAACTTCTGGGTAAAAGAATATATATATATATATTTTTTTTTTCCAGAGCCTTTCCATTCACATTGCCTAGTGCCTCAGAGCAGAATACTGCCTACACCACTGCCCACATTGTAAGAGAGAAATATATTGCAGTAGTTTAGTGTTCAGAAACACATTTTAAGCCTTTATCCGTTATAAATTATAATTATGTCCTACTTATTAGGGGTTTCAAATGCCTTTGTCAGATTAATCTGGCTGGTGGGTGCTAATCCTCGTGGCTATTCCTAAACATTACAATGTCACTAAGCTAATAACAGCAGCAGCATTCAACTCAGCAAGCTTGTGTCTCATTTCTAGCCAGGCGATTAGAGTCTCGTTTATAATTGTCTGGTGGAAAGCCTGGCTGATTTCCAATTAGCAACCCAGACAAATAGTGTTCATTTGAAAATTTTGTTTGTGTATAATAAACTGAGTGTACACTGAGTGGTTCCATAATTCAGTTTCTAATTAACCATAAAATCACAGAATTATAATTTGCCTGATATTTTCTGATACTTCCTGGATAAATATTTGCACCCTTGTTAGTGAATATTTGTTTCTGAAGATACATTTGGTTTTTGTCTCTACTCGCCCATAGTTTTTCAGCCTTGAAGTCTTAGATGTGGCAGAGACACAGAAGACTTGTACGGATCTGGGCAGATATTCAAATGGGCAATGACTTTGTCTTTGTCCCAGTGCACTGGCTCTCACTTTTCTTGTGTCTCCATGACATTGATGTTATTCTGTTGCATCACCTGTCACGAATAGATGGTCCAGTCCTAGGAATGGAAGAGCATGAAAAATAATGATCTACAGTCAATTTAGATTCTGGTTGAATTCCGAGGTTGAACCCAAATTCCAGTGTATGCCCAATATTTATGTGTTTATTATATAACATGCCTCATGGCACTAATACATTATGTATGTTATAAAACATACACAAAAATTAAAAAAGTGTAAGACAGGAAAAAATAGCAGGAAAAATAATAGACTCAGAGAGATTTCGTTCCACCACATATCAACTTGGATAAGCAATCAAATCTGTGTATCAGGTTCATCTACAAAGATGGATGATGATGATGATGATGATGATGATATGATGATAATAATAATAATAAT